ATGAAGCATCAACATTGATGGAATGAAAAGGACGAAAAAGATAGGAATTGAAAAATTGATTGTAATGATCCCAACTATTGGCGATCCGCTCATAATAATCCCAACTATCGATTATTGCATAATAATCTCAACTTTAGGGACCTTCCGCCAATAAGGAAAAATTGAAAATAATAATCCCAACTATTACCGGTCTACCATTAATAATCCCAACTATCGATTATTCCTGAGTGGTCCCAAATATAAGGACGGTTTTCCAAAAATGGTCCCCTAACCTGCTACAACCTGCTACAAAAATGGCCCCAACCTGATTTTTGGAAAATGACCTGATTTAAAAATGACCAGGTTGTAGCAGGTTAGGGACTATTTTTGGAAAATGGTCCCTATAGTTGGGACCACCCAGGAATAATCGATAGTTAGGATTAGTAATGGCGAACCGGTAATAGTTGAGATTATTATTTTCAATTTTCCCCCGCCAATAATGGTCCGACGTGACCGAAGATAAATAAATTTCTATAGTTTCTAAAGAGATATAGCAGATAATCCCTATAAATAATCCCAAATTTTAATTTTCACGCTTAATTTCTATTAAAAATTCACTTGTTAGAGCAGGTAATATGCGGTCATGGACCATTATTGATGGACGGTCCATATAGTTGGGATTATACAAAATAATCAATAGTTGGGATTATTGTTAGCGGACCGGCAATAGTTGGGATTATACTCCTATTTTGGAATTTCAAAACGTTTTTGCTCCTATTTAGAGCAATTTCTAATTTAATAATCTTAATTATGTCCGGTCCACATTTAATAACTTAACTGTTTTTTTTATTTTCGAAATGGTCCCTTTAACTGGTTACCGACTTACCGGTTAGCAAAGTACATAAAAAACAAATTTAGAATTCCTTCTCCCAATCATATTTCTTATTATCGAATGAAATTGAAGCTATCTTCATCCCTCCACTTGGCTCATTCACTCACCCTTTCGTCTTTCTTCGATACACCCGGAAAAGTTCAAGTTCGTCTTTCGTCTTTCTTGACCAATCAGGTAAAGTTCTTAGTTAATTAAATTCATAACAGTTAAAATAGATTCCTGGCCGGAGCTTCGTTGGTTCATTGAGTTACTGCAATTAATTAATTACTAAATTATAAATCAATAAATAGTGGATATGTGTGTAAATTTTAGAGCTTCAAAACGTACCCTTGTTACTGGCCTCACATAAATGTGAATTTGGCTATGAGCTTTTTTTAGTTTGTTTAATATAGATAGAAACGGATTTGGTAGTTTCCGTAGAAATATATATGTCCGAATGTAGTTTGTTTTTAATTTTTAAAGCTATGAGCTTTATTTAGTTTGATATTTATATATTTCATATTATACTCACGTTTTTAAGAAATAATTACATATATATAACTAAAATAACGATTGTTTACAAAAATTTGAGTAATGATCAAAGTAGTAATGAAATTAGAGTAACTTATGTTCAATGTTTACACTTAAATTATCATGAAACTACATTGTAGCAACTATATATGAATTATTTTGTATAAATAAGTTTTATTTTAGTAATAGTTTTTTGAAAAAAAAAACATTTTTAATACAATCTTTTTTTTTGAAATGTGACACCGAAGTGGAATTTATAAAAGTACTTATATTTATGTAAAGTTGAACACCGGTTATTGAATTGGATGGTTGATTGAATCAGATAACTTTTGTCTGATTGTATTTTATTCAATTTTTGCCTCTATCTTATTACTCTCATTTGGTCGAATCCACCGACTGAGTATTTTGTACTAGTAATTGTTTTTTATTTTATTACTCCGTAGATAAAAGTTTAGTCCCAATACAACATTCCTAATTCCGGCGGCTATTTCCATCGTATTTAATTAATAAACCTATTTAATCCTACGGAAACTACCAAATCCGTTTCTATATAAAGGTATACCTAGGAGTACAGTAAGTGATATATCAATATCAATTTAGTTTATTCAGGTAATTAATTAATTAGCTTTTCCGACAGGCCACCTATGAAGATCTTGAGACGTGATGAGGAATTAAGGGAGCCGTTAAAGAATGTGTCGATGGAGAAGGAGGCTGTGACGACGGCCACAACCGAAGAAGAAGATGACATGAAGGAGAAGAAGGACCGTCGCAGTCTCTTCGCGAGTTCGGCATTCCTTACGACTTCTACAGAGAAGGAGGTTGTGATGGCGGCGGCCAACGAAGAAGACTTGAAGGAGAAGAAGGATCGTCCCAGTCTGTTCGCGGGTTCGGCATTCCTTACGGCCTCTCCGCCGCCTTCTTCTCTTCCCTTGCCGGGTTCGACATTCCTAACGGCCTCTCCGCCGCCTTCTTCCCTTCCCTTGCCGGGTTCGGCATTCCTCACGGCCTCTCCGCCGCCTTCTTCTCTTCCCTTGCCGGGTTCTGCATTCCTAACGGCCTCTCCACCGCCTTCTTCTCTTCCCTTGCCGCCACGTGCATTTTTTACGAGACGCTCAAGTAATATTCTACCTGACATTTGTGCTTCTGATGACGGCGGCAGGGTGTTATCATCTCCGATGGCTTCCTACGCAATGCAAACAACAACAAAAAACATATTGGGAGGTTGACAACAACATAAATAATTTTATGATTTTTTTGAAGTGATAAGGAGGTGTCGTAAAGAATAAAAAAATAGTTTGCGGACATTTAGGGGGACTTGGTCATCTTACGGGGAGGTTGACAAAGCCACCCGTGATTTTTGGTTGGAAGATGTTCAAGGTAAAAATATATAATATTTGTTACATTTTAGTAACTTAATTTTAATAAACGATACATAAATTTTAACTTATACATCTACCGAACCCTAAAAGTTTTATCTCACTAGGGTTGCCGCCTTAGGCAGCGCCTAGCTTGGTTGTCTGGCGGTGCTTCGCTCAGGCGAGTACGGCGCCGAGAAGGTCTTTGTTATTGGCTGCAGGAGGAGATCACATGGAGGATTTTGGTAGGGAAGAGTCAATGAACATCTTATCGTGGAATTGTAGAGGACTGTACAAAAAGATGGCGATTGGAGTAGAGGAACAAGAACTGGATCTAGTGGAAGCTGATGTTGAGCGTGTGGCGGATGAGCGGCAGGCGCGTCCCCCTCCTGAGTCACCGTCATGGAGTGAAAGCAAATCTAGGGTTTGGAAGAAGATGAGTGAACTCTATTTTAATTGCATTTTATTCAGTTTGTGTTTTTCTGTCGGATTGCATGTTGTTTTGGTCGTGTTTTTTTTCCTAGCAGAGAAATTCTTAAATTTAGGTTAGGTGATAAGAAGTCTCGTTTGCGAGTCATTGGCTCAGTTATGCCCATTACAGGATCATCAAATGTTATTGCTTCTACAGAGGTGATAGATTCTCAGTCTGGTTCGAGGGCGGACGACAGACATAAGGCTTTTGATTGTTTTGTTTACTCCTTTTTCCTTGATTGTATTATCAGCCATGTGACGAACGTTATTTTGATTTGATATATTAGTTGGATTTGATGATTAAAAAAATACATCATTTTTGTAATGAAGCATCAACATTGATGGAATGAAAAGGACGAAAAAGATAGGAATTGAAAAATTGATTGTAATGATCCCAACTATTGGCGATCCGCTCATAATAATCCCAACTATCGATTATTGCATAATAATCTCAACTTTAGGGACCTTCCGCCAATAAGGAAAAATTGAAAATAATAATCCCAACTATTACCGGTCTACCATTAATAATCCCAACTATCGATTATTCCTGAGTGGTCCCAAATATAAGGACGGTTTTCCAAAAATGGTCCCCTAACCTGCTACAACCTGTTACAAAAATGGCCCCAACCTGATTTTTGGAAAATGACCTGATTTAAAAATGACCAGGTTGTAGCAGGTTAGGGACTATTTTTGGAAAATGGTCCCTATAGTTGGGACCACCCAGGAATAATCGATAGTTAGGATTAGTAATGGCGAACCGGTAATAGTTGAGATTATTATTTTCAATTTTCCCCCGCCAATAATGGTCCGACGAGACCGAAGATAAATAAATTTCTATAGTTTCTAAAGAGATATAGCAGATAATCCCTATAAATAATCCCAAATTTTAATTTTCACGCTTAATTTCTATTAAAAATTCACTTGTTAGGGCAGGTAATATGCGGTCATGGACCATTATTGATGGACGGTCCATATAGTTGGGATTATACAAAATAATCAATAGTTGGGATTATTGTTAGCGGACCGGCAATAGTTGGGATTATACTCCTATTTTGGAATTTCAAAACGTTTTTGCTCCTATTTAGAGCAATTTCTAATTTAATAATCTTAATTATGTCCGGTCCATTCTCCCAATCATATTTCTTATTATCGAATGAAATTGAAGCTATCTTCATCCCTCCACTTGGCTCATTCACTCACCCTTTCGTCTTTCTTCGATACACCCGGAAAAGTTCAAGTTCGTCTTTCGTCTTTCTTGACCAATCAGGTAAAGTTCTTAGTTAATTAAATTCATAACAGTTAAAATAGATTCCTGGCCGGAGCTTCGTTGGTTCATTGAGTTACTGCAATTAATTAATTACTAAATTATAAATCAATAAATAGTGGATATGTGTGTAAATTTTAGAGCTTCAAAACGTACCCTTGTTACTGGCCTCACATAAATGTGAATTTGGCTATGAGCTTTTTTTAGTTTGTTTAATATAGATAGAAACGGATTTGGTAGTTTCCGTAGAAATATATATGTCCGAATGTAGTTTGTTTTTAATTTTTAAAGCTATGAGCTTTATTTAGTTTGATATTTATATATTTCATATTATATTCACGTTTTTAAGAAATAATTACATATATATAACTAAAATAACGATTGTTTACAAAAATTTGAGTAATGATCAAAGTAGTAATGAAATTAGAGTAACTTATGTTCAATGTTTACACTTAAATTATCATGAAACTACATTGTAGCAACTATATATGAATTATTTTGTATAAATAAGTTTTATTTTAGTAATAGTTTTTTGAAGAAAAAAACATTTTTAATTCAATCTTTTTTTTTTGAAATGTGACACCGAAGTGGAATTTATAAAAGTACTTATATTTATGTAAAGTTGAACACCGGTTATTGAATTGGGTGGTTGATTGAATCAGATAACTTTTGTCTGATTGTATTTTATTCAATTTTTGCCTCTATCCTATTACTCTCATTTGGTCGAATCCACCGACTGAGTATTTTGTACTAGTAATTGTTTTTTATTTTATTACTCCGTAGATAAAAGTTTAGTCCCAATACAACATTCCTAATTCCGGCGGCTATTTCCATCGTATTTAATTAATAAACCTATTTAATCCTACGGAAACTACCAAATCCGTTTCTATATAAAGGTATACCTAGGAGTACAGTAAGTGATATATCAATATCAATTTAGTTTATTCAGGTAATTAATTAATTAGCTTTTCCGACAGGCCACCTATGAAGATCTTGAGACGTGATGAGGAATTAAGGGAGCCGTTAAAGAATGTGTCGATGGAGAAGGAGGCTGTGACGACGGCCACAACCGAAGAAGAAGATGACATGAAGGAGAAGAAGGACCGTCGCAGTCTCTTCGCGAGTTCGGCATTCCTTACGACTTCTACACCTGTTAAGCCGTGGAGGAGTCCTTTTCTTGAGAGACAACGCAGGAAGATCTTGATGTGGGACAAGGAATTAAGGGAGCCATTACAGAATGTTTCGTCGGAGAAGGAGGTTGTGACGGCGGTGGCGACTGAAGAAGAAGACCTGAAGGAGAAGAAGGATCGTCGCAGTCTCTTCGCGGGTTCGGCATTCCTTACGACCTCTCCACATATTAAGCCGTGGAGGAGTCCTTTTCTGGAAAGACAGCGCAAGAAGATCTCGATGAGGGACAAGGAATTAAGGGAGCCGTTAAAGAATGTGTCGCCAGAGAAGGAGGTTGTGATGGCGGCGGCCAACGAAGAAGACTTGAAGGAGAAGAAGGATCGTCCCAGTCTGTTCGCGGGTTCGGCATTCCTTACGGCCTCTCCGCCGCCTTCTTCTCTTCCCTTGCCGGGTTCGACATTCCTAACGGCCTCTCCGCCGCCTTCTTCCCTTCCCTTGCCGGGTTCGGCATTCCTCACGGCCTCTCCGCCGCCTTCTTCTCTTCCCTTGCCGGGTTCTGCATTCCTAACGGCCTCTCCACCGCCTTCTTCTCTTCCCTTGCCGCCACGTGCATTTTTTACGAGACGCTCAAGTAATATTCTACCTGACATTTGTGCTTCTGATGACGGCGGCAGGGTGTTATCATCTCCGATGGCTTCCTACGCAATGCAAACAACAACAAAAAACATATTGACAATGCATAGCATCCTCATTGTCATAATTTTGCCAGAAAAAAACATCATTGTCTTAATTAGGGTAATGCTCCGTATAAAAATGTAGATACCAAAACAGAAACAATAATAATTGTAACAAACTAAATGTTAGTATTATAAACAATGTATATGTTACCTCCTTTATTCTTTAGTTGCAACTTTGATGAACTTTGCATTATTCACATACTTTAGTTTGACTACATTTTAATATTTTATATACTCCGTATTAACGTATTGTGTAGTATAAATCAAATTTATGAAAAAAATCTTACACTCCTCTCATTTTAAATTTTCAAAATCTGAATTTTTAAGTTTTTTCTAATAAGAAATGAAAATATTAAAGCTCAAACTTAAAAAGTTGATTGTTGCCATTAAAAAAGAAGGGAGACGTATGACGAAACAGTGACATAGTGGTCTCATTTTTAAACTGTGAAAAACCTCTTTGTATCAACGTTAGTGCCTTAGGGCATCTCATCCATAGGATTATTTGAGGATTATTTTTAAACTGTGAAAAACCTCTTTGTATCCGGATTAAGTTGGTGATGTGGCAGATTATTTTTGAGATAATGATTAAGTGGTGAAAATTATTTGGTGAGATTATTTGACAAAATAATCCTGGATTGAAATATGAATCCAGATTATCTCAAGATTATTGTGCAGCTAGTATTAATTGGTGAGTGCGGGACCTACAAAAGATCTGATTATTTTTAGATGATGAATGGTGTAATTTAGAAAGTGTGAGATTATTTTGAAAAAATCTACGTGTCATTCTACATGTCATTAAAAATCCGTTTATTTACGTAGCATCAATGTGGATGCTCTTAGTGGTCTCATTTTCACTTTCACTTTCACCATATACAATTAATAAAAATTAGTCATTTTTTGTCTAAATTGCAACCCTGAAACAACAACTATTGAAAAAGCAGTTCTTTTTGGACATTAAGACTAACAACAAAGGGCGTCTTTGGCATCTAGACGTTAACACTTGGCGCATAGCAAATTATGTTGGCGTTTTGTTTATAGCAAATTTAGTAAACGAGTTTGACTAGTGGAGCAAATTGATGAGTTGCCAGAAGATATTTGGTAATTTAGTTGTTTGTTCAAAAAATTAGTAGAAAATGCCATATTTAAAAAAGTTAACCCAAAACTGTCATACTTCAAATTTTCTATTTCAGCGATTTCTTTAAAAAACGTTAGTGCCGAGCAGGTATTTACCAAACATTGTTTTCAGTTATTGAAAACGCTAATAAATGTCAAATCGTCATTTTTTGTTGAAAACCATTTTCGAGGCACGCCCAATCTCGTACATGTTCAATGCGATTGATCATATTCTATATGTTTTTAAAGAAGAAAGATAATTAAAGAGGCTAGAGTTCAACGATTATATGAATTATTATATAATTACACGGGTTTTTCCTTGAATATTACTAAATTTAATCTGATTTCCAAAAATGTGACCATTTTTTAAAAAGACAAAAATGTGATGAAGAAGGTCACATAAATGGAAAACATGATGTCACTGTCATTTTTTTTGTCATCACTACTGGACTGTTATGTTACTATAAGATATATGTCACTGCCGCCGGCCACCGCCGCCACCGATCACCGCTGCCGGACACAGTGACACCGCTAAAGTGACTCCGGCCAAAGTTGTTGCCCGCCCATCACCCACAGTGACACCGCCATAGTAACACGCCGTCTCAGGTGTCCCATCCCTCCACCGCTCCTTACCCAGCCCCAGCCCCTTCCACTGCTCCCCTCCCCCTCCCCTGCACCCCAGCCAACCTCCCCTGCATCCCAGCCCCACATCCCCCTTCCCCTGCACCCCAGTCCCCTTTCCCTGCCCACAGCCCCCTCCCCTGCACCCTAATCCCCTTCCCCTGCTCGCCGTCCCTCCACAGCTTCCCAGCTCCATCCCCATTCCCAGCCTATCTGCCCAAACGCTCTAGCCCCTCTGCCCCAGCGCCGCCAAGCTCTGCCATCATCTACTCTTCAGCGCCGCTAGCCATGTCCGACTCGCCCTAGACTCTCTGCGACTCGCAACCTCCCCCAACAACCACAACCCTGGCTTGGCCCAACCCCCTAGCCCTCGCGACTCGTCCAAGCCCCAACAACCCCAAATAGACGGCGACGATGGCAGAATTGCAACAACGACGCAGACGAGAAGACGGCGGAGGCGAGGCGGAGGCATCCGTTGTAGACGAAAAGCAGAGGCAGTGTCCCTGGTGGCCGGGGTAAGCGAGGCGGAGGAGTCTTCCCTGATGGAGAGAAGCTCGATGCGAAAATAGGAGAAGGGAAGCCCACTGGGTTAGGGTTAGGTGTTTAAAAATGTGGTCATTTTTTTGTCTAATTTAAAAATGGCCATATTTTTGTCCATCTAAAGTTGAGGAGTAATACTTATGCCATATTTTCTAATTACACTTGCTAATATAACTTTGAAATATTTCCTATCAAAAAATACTTTCAAATATCTCATTTTTTATTCAACTACTCCCTCCATTCCTATTTTATCTTCCAAATAGGTTTGACACACAATTTAAAATAGTGGGTATTGTGTGATGGAGAGTTGTGCAGAGGAGAGAGAAATGTGTAAGAAATGTTGTGAACCACAAATTCGTTACTAAAAATGGAAAGTGGAAGTTTTAATTGGAACGGACGAAAAAGGAAAGTTGGAAGTTTTAATAGAAACGGAGGGAGTACAATCCATAGGATAAAATTATCTTTTAATTGTTTTAATAAGACTAAATAAATCATACTTTGAAAAGAAAATGTATTTAGTCATGATTTAAAATATGTATATGAAGTTCGGAGTATATGTTTTAGAGAAATGGTGCTAAATAGGACCAAAAGAACGCTAATGTACCTAAATACTCCATATGTCCCTTATAACTTTTCCAACTTTCCTTTTTTTAATGTCCCACTAACATTTTGCCACTTTCCCTTTTAAGTAACGAATTTGTGGTTGCAGCTCATTCTCTCTCCTCTGCACAAACCTTAACCACACAATTTTTACTTTATTATTCCCCGTGTAGGACTTAAATGCTTTTTATACCTAAATAGGACCATATTTTCCCGTCTTTCCAAATTTACCATATATTTAATCTATGACTCCTTTCCTTTCTCCTCTTTGCCGACAAACCCAACCAAACTTCTTGCTTCATACGAATCATACACACAGGCGACCCTGGTAGGTAGCCAGGTAGGGAGTGGCTCTTTGGCTGGAACAACGGAGGCGTGGCGCAGAATTCTCTCTCTCAACAGTCTCTCTTCTCCGGCAGAATCCCTGGATCTGGCTCATTTCCGGCGGGCTGAACCCCGTCATTTCAGCTGCCGATTGCAGAAGTAGAGTGTGTTTTGACGTTTGGGTATCTGTCAAAATCGGATTTTCTGATCTGGGATTCTCCCGAGGTTTTGAATCTTGACTTTTTTACTTTGCTTCTTTTTCTTGATGATACTTCTGTTTTGCCCAATAGTTCAGGGTTCTGTCCGAAACCAATTTCTTAATATGATTGTGCCGTATTGTTTGTTAATAGGTTTAATCTCCTGCGCCTTCTAAATCTGTATTTAACTTTTTGTTTTAATTTGTAGATCCAGTTCATCCATAAACTAATACGGAGTATTAATTTATGTTGGGTTTGCTTATGAAAATAGTAAATACATACGTAGCTTTCTTTTCATGGGATGGAAAAAGTACTCCACAAACGTAGTTGTTTTTTCTTTGTGCTCAAAGCATGATCTCACACTATTTTGATTCACCCCTTTCCAAATTTATAAACAAGCTAACAATTAACCTCGCATGCACGTACAAGTGCAGTTACCACATGCCCCACAATGAGACCCACTCTCTCCACAACTCCGATGCATGCGTACCATTTACATGCATGTAAATAACTTAATTGACCAACTTAACTAATTGACCCAATTTAGACTAACACTAATGCAACGACACATACACACATTAGTGCCGCTACAACACATTCACGGTGCCACGCGACGCACACTACTTGGCATGACTCATCCCGCCGTGCACTAACACTCTAGTCTAATATGCATCAATGACTCAAAGTAAACTAAATTAAACACGATGAAATTATAAACAACAAGATTAATTCCAACAATATAGGGCCCGCTTCTATTTATTTTTCTTTCCCTACCTTTCGAGATTATTTTATGTATTTATTGCTTGTACAATGTGGGATGCCTTAGCATCTTTACAAAGAGTTGTGTAATAATAGATGTTTGTGGATTGCATTGAAGATGTGCCATATAACATGGTCCAGAGGTTGATATTTGGAGTGTGAGAGTGATACTTTACATTCTTCTTTGTGGTGTACTGGTGTTCTTCCCTTTTGGACAATTCTGTTTCACCTCTGTGACTGAGTAGTAGCTCTGTTTGCTAGCCTGATCCGCCTTCTTTTGCTTTCTAAGTTTTGTAGCTTTTTACTTGCTTAAGGGGCATCCTGGTGTACATTAGCGTTCCCACAAGGCCCGGGAAAGGTACCACCGTAATTGTGGTTTGACAGTTCAAGCAAGATTTTGGAGTTGGACTGGTGCAGCATTACAAGAATGCATGGAAGCTTCAAGGTGTCTGCATCTATTCACTTAGCCGACGAGTCAAAAGCTCTTACTCTTCGGGCTGAGAGCACCATAAATTTTGGATGTGTGATTCACTGACCTTTTCGATGTAAAGGATTATTGTAGTTATCATATCATCATATTATTTTTATGGTGTCTCTTTCCTCAGAAGAGCGCACCTGGAGTGGCATCTACTTTTAGCATGGCATTGTTAATAGGCATGGCAGTGGGGCGGGGCGGGGCGGGTAATGCAAAACCCAGACCCGCCCCGTTTTATTAATCTATAGACCCGACCTGCCCCGCGACCAACAACGGGTCAGCACATGTCGGCCCGTGACCTGCCCCGTGTGGGTCGGGTCCGCCCCGCCCCGACTTGATCTAGGATATATTTATTTGTGTCATAAAAAGCTATTAAACTTAAGAAAATGTGGTCCAAACACTTGGTGATGGGTGTTTCATCAACCAACAACCCAATCATCATAAATGATTAAGCAAAATCATCATATATAATAAAACGGCTAAAACCGGATAACTTTAGAAGTCAAACTTCAGAAAATGCCAAAAACACATAAGAGACTCAAAGTCCCCAAACAATAGTTTGAAACAGCCATAAGTTCACAAAACAAAATATCATGAAAGACAAAAAAGTATGTTGAGGTTTAGTCCCGTAGATCCGGAAGCCCAACATAAACTTCGGATATTAAGGACGATAAATTCAGTATAAAAGTAAATAATAAATATAAAAGTGTATGAACTAGCTATTTTTACGTGGAAACCCGGAAAAGGAGAAAATCACGGGACTTTTTAGGCTAACGTCCAAGCCCGCTCCTTTTCATTAATATGCTCTCCTCACCAATTACGTAATACAAATCTCTCCTCTCCATTAATGGAGCTTGCTAGATTTTAAGGAAAAGAAGAAGCAATCAGGAGCCCAGAATCCATCCCTCAAATGGGAGCCCTCCTCCCTATTTATAGGAAATGGGGAAGGGTTTGCTAATGGGCCAAAGGGCATAAATGGGTAGTTGGGCCGAAATATGGGCCGATGGGCCTGAAATGGGCCTCGTTGACCGGGCTTCATACCGGGGTGATGCATTGGGCCTTTGAGCAGTAGCAGGCCGGGATAATATATCCCAACACAAGTCCCCCAGTTTCTTGAGTAGTGAGCCTGTGAATCTACGCGAGAAAGTATACTCTTGCTCACGTCCCTCCTTGCCTTTCAACAGTAGCAGGCCGGGATAATATATCCCTTTGCTTTTTTCCAATGTTGTTCCCACCTTCAAGGGATTTCTCACATCCAAAGTCACCCGGATTCTCATGTAGGCCTCCCATTTCTCATCGAACTGGTTATCATCCCATGAAATAGATTTCCCCCGATAATTCACAATTCTACGAGCATTTCCTAGATTCGAAAAGCCATATGGAACATTGTGCACCTGTACCCAGAAACCTGCCGAATCCAGAGGGACCTTCAGAGGCATATCCCCTGGTTTATGGCTTACAACACCAACAGGTTTTGATCAAATAGCCAAGGTCCGTTTTCATATAAACGACATGATAAAATTTAAACAAATACCTCCTCTCACCGATCTCCCGAATCAGCACTCCTTTGCCTGGAAGCCACAGAGCCGCCATCAGATATGAAAATCTGGAATTTCACAACTTTATCTGTAAGAATCGTGCCAACTACAGGGAAGGTGTTTGCCTCTCTAACCATCGCACTGCGATCAAGGTCAGATTCCTCATCATCATCCAGCAGTAGTTCGTCCGTCGTGTGACCCAATCCCATGCCGTCATATTGGTCAATCAACTTTTCCATGCTACCCACGCCCATCGCCGCAGGGGACTCCTCTTCCTATTCATGTTGATCACTGTTAGTCTGCGGATTGGATCCGCTTGACGCCATACCCTCGGGCTTACTTCCACTTGCCGCAAACTGGCCGCACTGCATCGGCGGATTTTGAGAACCCTACGAAGAGGGAGAGCCCGCGTTTTAAAATTAAGCAAAGGTGAGTCTAATAAAACTGATACCACGTGTATTTCTAAACTATAAATAAAATATTTTAATAAAAATTGATAATTTTTTAATAAGTATTATATTCGTATTTATTGTCTGTCTAATTTCAAATACATTTTAAGTTTTTTTTAAATGTAAGAATTGAAGTACATTTTAGAAAATAGTTTTATTATAATGTCTTATTAATATTAAATATCATTGAAATATTTTTTCCCTTTACAAATTAATAAAGATAATCAATTAATTACCCTGGAGTATAACTTACGTTTTTTGTTTTTAGTCAATATTGACCGGTTTTACCGGTGTTAACCGGGTTGACCCGTGACCCGATCATTTGGCTAGGTTGCTTCTCCGTCCGATTTTTCAAAAAACTGTTTTTCTAAAAATTAATAAAAAAATAAACTGTATAAAAATTAAACAATAAAAAAAAAAAAAAAAACTGTACAACAAACTGTTTTTCTAAAAATTAATTTAAAAAATTACGGCCCCCTCATATTAAACTTATAAACAGTTTAATATGTTGCAAAAAATACTGTTTTTTTTAAAAATTAGCATAAAAAATACTTTTTCCCTAACAGTTTATAATTGTAATACTGTTTTTTTAATAATATAAAAATATACACTTTTTTCATATGACAATACATTGATTTTTCTAAAAATCAATACATAAAAAATACTGTTTTTTTATAAAAGTTAATACCAAAATAATATACCGTTTTCTTAAAATTAACACAAAAAATATAATACACTCCTTCTTGTAAGTACGACACACTATTTTTTCTCAACATTTTCAAAAAATATATTGTATTTAATTATCACAATAAACTGCATTTTCTAAAAATTAATACATAAAATACTGTTTTTACATAAATTAGTACAAAAAATATAGTTTTTTCCCTACCACTTTAATATATAATACTATTTTTTTTATAAAACTTCTTAGAAACTAATTTTTTATTGATAAATATAAAACTTACAAAATTGTTTTAGAAATGGTCTATTATCACACTAATATTTCAATATATATAAATCATTTTAGATGAGTGATCATTCTCGCCATTCCAACTATTCTCGTCGTGGAGGTTCGCATTCACGACGCACCCCGACTACACCTGTTCCGGACATCAATGATGATGTCAATGATGATTCCGGACATGTCCAAACACCTCTTTCAATTCTCAACAATCGGATGCACATGGAAGCACCTCTTATGCGTGTCGAGACCCCTCAAACTCCCAGGGATGTGCTGGTGCCTCTCGCCCTCCCTCCAACATCTCTACTGAAATGGAGTCCGAGAATCCCAGTGCGTTTTGGGTGACAACTCAAGCGATTCATAGGTAATTAATTAACTCTCTCTAATTTGAAAGAACATAATCGTAAAAATTATAAATTGATATAAATAATTTTATGATTTTTTTGAAGTGATAAGGAGGTGTCGTAAAGAATAAAAAAATAGTTTGCGGACATTTAGGGGGACTTGGTCATCTTACGGGGAGGTTGACAAAGCCACCCGTGATTTTTGGTTGGAAGATGTTCAAGGTAAAAATATATAATATTTGTTACATTTTAGTAACTTAATTTTAATAAACGATACATAAATTTTAACTTATACATCTACCGAACCCTAAAAGTTTTATCTCTCTAGGGTTGCCGCCTTAGGCAGCGCCTAGCTTGGTTGTCTGGCGGTGCTTCGCTCAGGCGAGTACGGCGCCGAGAAGGTCTTTGTTATTGGCTGCAGGAGGAGATCACATGGAGGATTTTGGTAGGGAAGAGTCAATGAACATCTTATCGTGGAATTGTAGAGGACTGTACAAAAAGATGGCGATTGGAGTAGAGGAACAAGAACTGGATCTAGTGGAAGCTGATGTTGAGCGTGTGGCGGATGAGCGGCAGGCGCGTCCCCCTCCTGAGTCACCGTCATGGAGTGAAAGCAAATCTAGGGTTTGGAAGAAGATGAGTGAACTCTATTTTAATTGCATTTTATTCAGTTTGTGTTTTTCTGTCGGATTGCATGTTGTTTTGGTCGTGTTTTTTTTCCTAGCAGAGAAATTCTTAAATTTAGGTTAGGTGATGAGAAGTCTCGTTTGCGAGTCATTGGCTCAGTTATGCCCATTACAGGATCATCAAATGTTATTGCTTCTACAGAGGTGATAGATTCTCAGTCTGGTTCGAGGGCGGACGACAGACATAAGGCTTTTGATTGTTTTGTTTACTCCTTTTTCCTTGATTGTATTATCAGCCATGTGACGAACGTTATTTTGATTTGATATATTAGTTGGATTTGATGATTAAAAAAATACATCATTTTTGTAATGAAGCATCAACATTGATGGAATGAAAAGGACGAAAAAGATAGGAATTGAAAAATTGATTGTAATGATCCCAACTATTGGCGATCCGCTCATAATAATCCCAACTATCGATTATTGCATAATAATCTCAACTTTAGGGACCTTCCGCCAATAAGGAAAAATTGAAAATAATAATCCCAACTATTACCGGTCTACCATTAATAATCCCAACTATCGATTATTCCTGAGTGGTCCCAAATATAAGGACGGTTTTCCAAAAATGGTCCCCTAACCTGCTACAACCTGCTACAAAAATGGCCCCAACCTGATTTTTGGAAAATGACCTGATTTAAAAATGACCAGGTTGTAGCAGGTTAGGGACTATTTTTGGAAAATGGTCCCTATAGTTGGGACCACCCAGGAATAATCGATAGTTAGGATTAGTAATGGCGAACCGGTAATAGTTGAGATTATTATTTTCAATTTTCCCCCGCCAATAATGGTCCGACGTGACCGAAGATAAATAAATTTCTATAGTTTCTAAAGAGATATAGCAGATAATCCCTATAAATAATCCCAAATTTTAATTTTCACGCTTAATTTCTATTAAAAATTCACTTGTTAGAGCAGGTAATATGCGGTCATGGACCATTATTGATGGACGGTCCATATAGTTGGGATTATACAAAATAATCAATAGTTGGGATTATTGTTAGCGGACCGGCAATAGTTGGGATTATACTCCTATTTTGGAATTTCAAAACGTTTTTGCTCCTATTTAGAGCAATTTCTAATTTAATAATCTTAATTATGTCCGGTCCACATTTAATAACTTAACTGTTTTTTTTATTTTCGAAATGGTCCCTTTAACTGGTTACCGACTTACCGGTTAGCAAAGTACATAAAAAACAAATTTAGAATTCCTTCTCCCAATCATATTTCTTATTATCGAATGAAATTGAAGCTATCTTCATCCCTCCACTTGGCTCATTCACTCACCCTTTCGTCTTTCTTCGATACACCCGGAAAAGTTCAAGTTCGTCTTTCGTCTTTCTTGACCAATCAGGTAAAGTTCTTAGTTAATTAAATTCATAACAGTTAAAATAGATTCCTGGCCGGAGCTTCGTTGGTTCATTGAGTTACTGCAATTAATTAATTACTAAATTATAAATCAATAAATAGTGGATATGTGTGTAAATTTTAGAGCTTCAAAACGTACCCTTGTTACTGGCCTCACATAAATGTGAATTTGGCTATGAGCTTTTTTTAGTTTGTTTAATATAGATAGAAACGGATTTGGTAGTTTCCGTAGAAATATATATGTCCGAATGTAGTTTGTTTTTAATTTTTAAAGCTATGAGCTTTATTTAGTTTGATATTTATATATTTCATATTATATTCACGTTTTTAAGAAATAATTACATATATATAACTAAAATAACGATTGTTTACAAAAATTTGAGTAATGATCAAAGTAGTAATGAAATTAGAGTAACTTATGTTCAATGTTTACACTTAAATTATCATGAAACTACATTGTAGCAACTATATATGAATTATTTTGTATAAATAAGTTTTATTTTAGTAATAGTTTTTTGAAGAAAAAAACATTTTTAATACAATCTTTTTTTTTTGAAATGTGACACCGAAGTGGAATTTATAAAAGTACTTATATTTATGTAAAGTTGAACACCGGTTATTGAATTGGGTGGTTGATTGAATCAGATAACTTTTGTCTGATTGTATTTTATTCAATTTTTGCCTCTATCCTATTACTCTCATTTGGTCGAATCCACCGACTGAGTATTTTGTACTAGTAATTGTTTTTTATTTTATTACTCCGTAGATAAAAGTTTAGTCCCAATACAACATTCCTAATTCCGGCGGCTATTTCCATCGTATTTAATTAATAAACCTATTTAATCCTACGGAAACTACCAAATCCGTTTCTATATAAAGGTATACCTAGGAGTACAGTAAGTGATATATCAATATCAATTTAGTTTATTCAGGTAATTAATTAATTAGCTTTTCCGACAGGCCACCTATGAAGATCTTGAGACGTGATGAGGAATTAAGGGAGCCGTTAAAGAATGTGTCGATGGAGAAGGAGGCTGTGACGACGGCCACAACCGAAGAAGAAGATGACATGAAGGAGAAGAAGGACCGTCGCAGTCTCTTCGCGAGTTCGGCATTCCTTACGACTTCTACACCTGTTAAGCCGTGGAGGAGTCCTTTTCTTGAGAGACAACGCAGGAAGATCTTGATGTGGGACAAGGAATTAAGGGAGCCATTACAGAATGTTTCGTCGGAGAAGGAGGTTGTGACGGCGGCGGCGACTGAAGAAGAAGACCTGAAGGAGAAGAAGGATCGTCGCAGTCTCTTCGCGGGTTCGGCATTCCTTACGACCTCTCCACATATTAAGCCGTGGAGGAGTCCTTTTCTGGAAAGACAGCGCAAGAAGATCTCGATGAGGGACAAGGAATTAAGGGAGCCGTTAAAGAATGTGTCGCCAGAGAAGGAGGTTGTGATGGCGGCGGCCAACGAAGAAGACTTGAAGGAGAAGAAGGATCGTCCCAGTCTGTTCGCGGGTTCGGCATTCCTTACGGCCTCTCCGCCGCCTTCTTCTCTTCCCTTGCCAGGTTCGACATTCCTAACGGCCTCTCCGCCGCCTTCTTCCCTTCCCTTGCCGGGTTCGGCATTCCTCACGGCCTCTCCGCCGCCTTCTTCTCTTCCCTTGCCGGGTTCTGCATTCCTAACGGCCTCTCCACCGCCTTCTTCTCTTCCCTTGCCGCCACGTGCATTTTTTACGAGACGCTCAAGTAATATTCTACCTGACATTTGTGCTTCTGATGACGGCGGCAGTGTGTTATCATCTCCGATGGCTTCCTACGCAATGCAAACAACAACAAAAAACATATTGACAATGCATAGCATCCTCATTGTCATAATTTTGCCAGAAAAAAACATCATTGTCTTAATTAGGGTAATGCTCCGTATAAAAATGTAGATACCAAAACAGAAACAATAATAATTGTAACAAACTAAATGTTAGTATTATAAACAATGTATATGTTACCTCCTTTATTCTTTAGTTGCAACTTTGATGAACTTTGCATTATTCACATACTTTAGTTTGACTACATTTTAATATTTTATATACTCCGTATTAACGTATTGTGTAGTATAAATCAAATTTATGAAAAAAATCTTACACTCCTCTCATTTTAAATTTTCAAAATCTGAATTTTTAAGTTTTTTCTAATAAGAAATGAAAATATTAAAGCTCAAACTTAAAAAGTTGATTGTTGCCATTAAAAAAGAAGGGAGACGTATGACGAAACAGTGACATAGTGGTCTCATTTTTAAACTGTGAAAAACCTCTTTGTATCAACGTTAGTGCCTTAGGGCATCTCATCCATAGGATTATTTGAGGATTATTTTTAAACTGTGAAAAACCTCTTTGTATCCGGATTAAGTTGGTGATGTGGCAGATTATTTTTGAGATAATGATTAAGTGGTGAAAATTATTTGGTGAGATTATTTGACAAAATAATCCTGGATTGAAATATGAATCCAGATTATCTCAAGATTATTGTGCAGCTAGTATTAATTGGTGAGTGCGGGACCTACAAAAGATCTGATTATTTTTAGATGATGAATGGTGTAATTTAGAAAGTGTGAGATTATTTTGAAAAAATCTACGTGTCATTCTACATGTCATTAAAAATCCGTTTATTTACGTAGCATCAATGTGGATGCTCTTAGTGGTCTCATTTTCACTTTCACTTTCACCATATACAATTAATAAAAATTAGTCATTTTTTGTCTAAATTGCAACCCTGAAACAACAACTATTGAAAAAGCAGTTCTTTTTGGACATTAAGACTAACAACAAAGGGCGTCTTTGGCATCTAGACGTTAACACTTGGCGCATAGCAAATTATGTTGGCGTTTTGTTTATAGCAAATTTAGTAAACGAGTTTGACTAGTGGAGCAAATTGATGAGTTGCCAGAAGATATTTGGTAATTTAGTTGTTTGTTCAAAAAATTAGTAGAAAATGCCATATTTAAAAAAGTTAACCCAAAACTGTCATACTTCAAATTTTCTATTTCAGCGATTTCTTTAAAAAACGTTAGTGCCGAGCAGGTATTTACCAAACATTGTTTTCAGTTATTGAAAACGCTAATAAATGTCAAATCGTCATTTTTTGTTGAAAACCATTTTCGAGGCACGCCCAATCTCGTACATGTTCAATGCGATTGATCATATTCTATATGTTTTTAAAGAAGAAAGATAATTAAAGAGGCTAGAGTTCAACGATTATATGAATTATTATATAATTACACGGGTTTTTCCTTGAATATTACTAAATTTAATCTGATTTCCAAAAATGTGACCATTTTTTAAAAAGACAAAAATGTGATTAAGAAGGTCACATAAATGGAAAACATGATGTCACTGTCATTTTTTTTGTCATCACTACTGGACTGTTGTGTTACTATAAGATATATGTCACTGCCGCCGGCCACCGCCGCCACCGATCACCGCTGCCGGACACAGTGACACCGCTAAAGTGACTCCGGCCAAAGTTGTTGCCCGCCCATCACCCACAGTGACACCGCCATAGTAACACGCCGTCTCAGGTGTCCCATCCCTCCACCGCTCCTTACCCAGCCCCAGCCCCTTCCACTGCTCCCCTCCCCCTCCCCTGCACCCCAGCCAACCTCCCCTGCATCCCAGCCCCACATCCCCCTTCCCCTGCACCCCAGTCCCCTTTCCCTGCCCACAGCCCCCTCCCCTGCACCCTAATCCCCTTCCCCTGCTCGCCGTCCCTCCACAGCTTCCCAGCTCCATCCCCATTCCCAGCCTATCTGCCCAAACGCTCTAGCCCCTCTGCCCCAGCGCCGCCAAGCTCTGCCATCATCTACTCTTCAGCGCCGCTAGCCATGTCCGACTCGCCCTAGACTCTCTGCGACTCGCAACCTCCCCCAACAACCACAACCCTGGCTTGGCCCAACCCCCTAGCCCTCGCGACTCGTCCAAGCCCCAACAACCCCAAATAGACGGCGACGATGGCAGAATTGCAACAACGACGCAGACGAGAAGCCGGCGGAGGCGAGGCGGAGGCATCCGTTGTAGACGAAAAGCAGAGGCAGTGTCCCTGGTGGCCGGGGTAAGCGAGGCGGAGGAGTCTTCCCTGATGGAGAGAAGCTCGATGCGAAAATAGGAGAAGGGAAGCCCACTGGGTTAGGGTTAGGTGTTTAAAAATGTGGTCATTTTTTTGTCTAATTTAAAAATGGCCATATTTTTGTCCATCTAAAGTTGAGGAGTAATACTTATGCCATATTTTCTAATTACACTTGCTAATATAACATTGAAATATTTCCTATCAAAAAATACTTTCAAATATCTCATTTTTTATTCAACTACTCCCTCCATTCCTATTTTATCTTCCAAATAGGTTTGACACACAATTTAAAATAGTGGGTATTGTGTGATGGAGAGTTGTGCAGAGGAGAGAGAAATGTGTAAGAAATGTTGTGAACCACAAATTCTTTACTAAAAATGGAAAGTGGAAGTTTTAATTGGAACGGACGAAAAAGGAAAGTTGGAAGTTTTAATAGAAACGGAGGGAGTACAATCCATAGGATAAAATTATCTTTTAATTGTTTTAATAAGACTAAATAAATCATACTTTGAAAAGAAAATGTATTTAGTCATGATTTAAAATATGTATATGAAGTTCGGAGTATATGTTTTAGAGAAATGGTGCTAAATAGGACCAAAAGAACGCTAATGTACCTAAATACTCCATATGTCCCTTATAACTTTTCCAACTTTCCTTTTTTTAATGTCCCACTAACATTTTGCCACTTTCCCTTTTAAGTAACGAATTTGTGGTTGTAGCTCATTCTCTCTCCTCTGCACAAACCTTAACCACACAATTTTTACTTTATTATTCCCCGTGTAGGACTTAAATGCTTTTTATACCTAAATAGGACCATATTTTCCCGTCTTTCCAAATTTACCATATATTTAATCTATGACTCCTTTCCTTTCTCCTCTTTGCCGACAAACCCAACCAAACTTCTTGCTTCATACGAATCATACACACAGGCGACCCTGGTAGGTAGCCAAGTAGGGAGTGGCTCTTTGGCTGGAACAACGGAGGCGTGGCGCAGAATTCTCTCTCTCAACAGTCTCTCTTCTCCGGCAGAATCCCTGGATCTGGCTCATTTCCGGCGTGCTGAACCCCGTCGTTTCAGCTGCCGATTGCAGAAGTAGAGTGTGTTTTGACGTTTGGGTATCTGTCAAAATCGGATTTTCTGATCTGGGATTCTCCCGAGGTTTTGAATCTTGACTTTTTTACTTTGCTTCTTTTTCTTGATGATACTTCTGTTTTGCCCAATAGTTCAGGGTTCTGTCCGAAACCAATTTCTTAATATGATTGTGCCGTATTGTTTGTTAATAGGTTTAATCTCCTGCGCCTTCTAAATCTGTATTTAACTTTTTGTTTTAATTTGTAGATCCAGTTCATCCATAAACTAATACGGAGTATTAATTTATGTTGGGTTTGCTTATGAAAATAGTAAATACATACGTAGCTTTCTTTTCATGGGATGGAAAAAGTACTCCACAAACGTAGTTGTTTTTTCTTTGTGCTCAAAGCATGATCTCACACTATTTTGATTCACCCCTTTCCAAATTTATAAACAAGCTAACAATTAACCTCGCATGCACGTGCAAGTGCAGTTACCACATGCCCCACAATGAGACCCACTCACTCCACAACTCCGATGCATGCGTACCATTTACATGCATGTAAATAACTTAATTGACCAACTTAACTAATTGACCCAATTTAGACTAACACTAATGCAACGACACATACACACATTAGTGCCGCTACAACACATTCACGGTGCCACGCGACGCACACTACTTGGCATGACTCATCCCGCCGTGCACTAACACTCTAGTCTAATATGCATCAATGACTCAAAGTAAACTAAATTAAACACGATGAAATTATAAACAACAAGATTAATTCCAACAATATAGGGCCCGCTTCTATTTATTTTTCTTTCCCTACCTTTCGAGATTATTTTATGTATTTATTGCTTGTACAATGTGGGATGCCTTAGCATCTTTACAAAGAGTTGTGTAATAATAGATGTTTGTGGATTGCATTGAAGATGTGCCATATAACATGGTCCAGAGGTTGATATTTGGAGTGTGAGAGTGATACTTTACATTCTTCTTTGTGGTGTACTGGTGTTCTTCCCTTTTGGACAATTCTGTTTCACCTCTGTGACTGAGTAGTAGCTCTGTTTGCTAGCCTGATCCGCCTTCTTTTGCTTTCTAAGTTTTGTAGCTTTTTACTTGCTTAAGGGGCATCCTGGTGTACATTAGCGTTCCCACAAGGCCCGGGAAAGGTACCACCGTAATTGTGGTTTGACAGTTCAAGCAAGATTTTGGAGTTGGACTGGTGCAGCATTACAAGAATGCATGGAAGCTTCAAGGTGTCTGCATCTATTCACTTAGCCGACGAGTCAAAAGCTCTTACTCTTCGGGCTGAGAGCACCATAAATTTTGGATGTGTGATTCACTGACCTTTTCGATGTAAAGGATTATTGTAGTTATCATATCATCATATTATTTTTATGGTGTCTCTTTCCTCAGAAGAGCGCACCTGGAGTGGCATCTACTTTTAGCATGGCATTGTTAATAGGCATGGCAGTGGGGCGGGGCGGGGCGGGTAATGCAAAACCCAGACCCGCCCCGTTTTATTAATCTATAGACCCGACCTGCCCCGCGACCAACAACGGGTCAGCACATGTCGGCCCGTGACCTGCCCCGTGTGGGTCGGGTCCGCCCCGCCCCGACTTGATCTAGGATATATTTATTTGTGTCATAAAAAGCTATTAAACTTAAGAAAATGTGGTCCAAACACTTGGTGATGGGTGTTTCATCAACCAACAACCCAATCATCATAAATGATTAAGCAAAATCATCATATATAATAAAACGGCTAAAACCGGATAACTTTAGAAGTCAAACTTCAGAAAATGCCAAAAACACATAAGAGACTCAAAGTCCCCAAACAATA